TCATTCAGAAAAATACTGCGAGGAGTTTGGACCCTGTCCAGAAGAGAAATGGAGTGAACAATAACTTTTCTCATACATTTAATACATCAGTGATGTGTTCAAGAAAGCAACCCACTAAAAATATGTAAAAATCATGTATACAAAGCATCAGCAACTCTTTCAGGAGAGAATTAATACCCATTTCAGTAAAGAAATACACGCTAAATGAATCATCATAACCATCTGTTAGAAGGTACACTCAGAAAACAATCTCACTCAACTGCTCCTCTAAAAAAAAAAATCCCAAAAAATGTTATTTTCTTGTCAACATACATATACCTTTGTAATGAGGAGTAGGATTATTTATAAATTGCAGTAAAAGCTTGACTCGATTCGAGGTCATCTCAATACAAATTAAACAAGGCAGAACATGAATCAGATCAAACCAACAGGAGGTCACGCCTGGGAAACTAGACGGGAAAAAAGAAAGAGGAAGGCAGGCAGAAAAATGTCACTTCAACTGAATGAGTGGACAGAAGCAAGACAGCAGGACACTGAGCAGTGAAGGACTAGGACCTAAGGATCGCAAAAGCCAGTACATGAAACACGTCACAAAGACCAAATTGACTATGGGAGATTTCACTGCAACCAACAAAGATGAGAATGACATAAATTTGACAGGACAGTTGAGGTACACGAGGGGCGGTGAGGATCTAGCATCTCGAAGTTCACAACATACAGTTCCATTCACAGCAATCAAAGGAGCACTCGGGACCGATGCTGAGTGGAGGAACACCCACCGCTGCACAGTGGTGGGGTGTTTTAGAAAACTTATATAAGTCAGATTAGAACAAACATGTCTGTTTGAATGTTCAAGACCATAATACATGATTTTAATAATGTGACATGCACTCACAAATATGCTCTTTTTGAGCAAAAATTGTTCATGCAGGACTCATTTCCAGGTGAAATCTTCCAAGTTCACTAGCCATAAAAAAAAGGTCTTACATCAAAAATATACAAAAATTTACCAAATAAGTGAAAACAAATTAAATGTAAATAAGAATTTCCTTTCTCAACTTATCTGTCATACTTTGGGTAAAAATCTTTTTTAATGAAAAACAGAATGAGCTCATGACAAATGCCTCAGGATCAAAATAATTTAGAGGAAAACACTTTGGCGTGATAAGTAATAATAATATGTGTAAATTTTAACATTTGTCCTCCTCAAACGCCCTATTTGTTATGATATTGGTAAAAATAAAAAGTAAAAAGAGAACAAGCAAAAGAATGCCCCAAATTCCTTCGTATTCAGAGGAAAAAAGTTTGGCCATGTGAGCATGAATAGATGACAATGTGAGTAAATAATGAAAACTTTCCTCTTCATACATGTTAATTGCTATGTCACTGGTAACAAGTAAAAAAACAGAATGAGCTCATGGTTGCTTAAAGTATTCAGAAGATTAAAAGATTTGGCCAGGAGAGCAACACAAAGAGGACAAACAATAGCAGAAAAAGTAGCAGAGAAATGGCAAGGCAGACAATGAACAAAATTTAAAGCCTGACTTTGCCAGTCCACACAGTTCAACATGTTCTGACCCTGGCCACATCTCACAGACCAGTCACATATTTACTACGTCTCGCAACAGCAGTCCAGCACACACATCGCAAAAACACACATATAGAACATACACACAGCGAACAGATTTTCAGGTGCCAAGTTTTTTCTTATACGTATATTCTGTGTATTTAAGACACAAACATAAAATTCATGCAAAACGAAAAGATTTCCACTTTCCGCCAATTTTTGCTATATGCATGCTAGACTGTAGAAATCTATTAACATTTCCCAATATTTCATAGCTACCAACACATTCACAATGCATGTTTAACACCAAACAACCCATTCATCAGCAAAGCAATCACTTTTCCTCACAAAAAAAAGCAATACATTCATTTTTTCTCTCATGAAATAACACGCTCACTACTTCTTACACCAAGTAACATAGTCACCATCTCTTAGAGAGAAAAATATTCGCTGTTTCTCACATCCTAACAATTCTGACAAGTGCAAACACATTCCCAACATTAATCTAAAGAAGAGATGATTTGCTTGTTTACTTCTTTTTCTTTATAATAGGCATTTTTACACCACTATCCACACAATTTAGATCACTTAGGAGGCAGACTGCCTATCCTGCCTGTCAGGGCCAACCTGGGCTGAGAAGGACACTACATACCAGTACAAAGCCCAAGAGAATCGATAAAAATTTTCTTCCCACTCAGGAATCGAACTCAGATTTCCTGCATGCGCCAGCAAAGCTCCAAACAGCTACACCACAGACGCCAGTACTGTTTTCTTTGCTTAAGTTGTTTAAGTTAAGAGATATATATTATCAATATAATTACCATCATTCAAAACTGGGAAAAAGCCGACAAAAACATAAAAATAAGAAGAGCAGTAAAGAAGCAGACCCTACCAGCAAGGCCCCTCCAAACAACTGCTTTGGCTGTTTTAAACAAAGAGAAAAACGTTAAAGCAAAATAACTAAGTAGGGTGCCTTTAAAGACAAGGGAGATTACAGAAAATTTGAGACTTTAGAATTAAGATGTACAGGGTGTACAGACGAGGCAACACTTCCAAAAGGAGGACAAAGAGAAACAAAAAGTCAAATTCTAATATACATATATATATACATACATATATATATACACACATATATATACATATATATATATATATATATATATATATGTAGTTGTTTCATGCAATGCTTCAAGCTTTCTGACAGTAGCTTGAGTTCATTCCATGACACAAGCTGTGAGGAAGAAAGATGATATATGGCAAACGGAAAATGTACAAAAGCATAAAAAGACGGGAACAAAAAAAGAGTTTTCAAAACTATTGCCCACAAAAGACCAAAACTGATGTACACCCTTTCATGCAGAAAATTTCCAGTTTAAAATTTGAGACAAAACCTGTTGTTCCTATAAAAGGGAACTAAATAAAAAAATTTGAACGGCTACCCCGAACTAATACCTTGCCAGTGCATTACAACAAAAATTGTGTACTACAAGACAGTTCACCCCTCAGTTTGAAATGATTTTTAAGTAACATCCTCACAATGCTGGTAAAAAAAACACCTACATTAATGAGCATTTGATGTTTTATTGCGGAAGTGATATATCTAGTATACAAAGAGTAGAAGCAAAGACTGCACTAAAAGATCTTCACTATATAATCCACTTATATCGACGGCCAATGTATCGACATATAGACATATCAACATATTTTCCGATAACAAAATTTTCCTTTAATATCTTCACTAAACAATTTTTCTTATATCGACTTTTTTCGGCCCACTCTGCTTTATCGACATGCTTCCTGGGTACCTGGCCAAGCCTACGAACATGAATGGGGGGGAAAGCCACGCTAACGGTCAACGCATTAGTTCTTCATTTAGTCCGCATACCCATCAAGTAGCCTATTCGACACACCAGGCTTTAGTAGGTCATGTAGGGCCTACACAGTGTAGTCTCAAACACAGTACAGTACCTCACAGACCAGAACATCTCGCGCACTGGGCATAACCTCCCTACCCCCACTCCCGATCGCTCACTCCCCTTCCCCATTCCATTCTCAGTCTGTCGCTGGCAAGTGCCACGGTCAGTGAGTCAGTGCCTCGCCTTTCCATTTTCCCCAGCAAACAGCCATAAACAGGCCTTACAAGGATGCTACAACAAAGTATCTTATATATTGACATCATATCCACTTCCCAAGGCATATCAATATAAGCGGATTATAGCTTTTATATGGCGTTCATATGACCTTATGCAGTTGCGAGCGCCGTAAAACCTCTACTAAAACTTTAAAAATAGTTTTTATACTGTATTTGGAAAATGAATCAGAACGTTTTTGTCAGCACCAAGGGCAACATCTACAGAAATAGATCATAAATATTTAAAGATGCTTTTCTTGAGAGGAAACCATCTTCTAGTGTTTAATCTTTGATTACAGAGACCATCGTATACCTGAGCATTTCTTTAGTATGAGACAATAATCACAACCCTATTGAGATAATCACAAACTTTCACAGAAATATCAACTGGAAATAATTGTCAAGATCAACCAAAAATCACACGCATCAACCAGGGAAAGTTATACAGAAGAAGCAGAGGGACATATGTAACCAACTAGAAAAGTGATATTTCAACAACAACCACAGGTGGAAGCGTAGGATGTGATGTTTCGTAAAAACAAGTTACAACCTCTGGCAACAATGTGATGACACACACACCACAATGATTCACAACAGCAAAACTTATAGAAACACAAATCAATATATGTTCATCAGAACCAAACACGAATAATACCTATTCCACACAGTGTGAACACATGCACACACACACACACACACAAATCTTAAAGTTGCCCCCATATCTTTCATGCTGCCAGAATACAGGGACCACTGTGCAGCCAATCTCTAACACTCTGCTTTTGTTTGGTTCAATACATCCTTTCTTCTTAGAGGGACTTCTCCAAAGATCAACATACATATCATTTAGCTGCCAGGACTCATTAACTTTAACATTTACAAAAGTCAGTCCAGCAGAGGCCATCCTCAGTTCACCGGACAAAAATATGGAGAACTATGCCACTGCCCACTGAAAACACTTACAATAACGACAGCATCAATGGACCATGATATGGCATATGGCATATATCAAGGGTACCAAAACAAGTTGTCAAATCTCAAAAATTCAACTTTTTCCAGAGAAATAAAAACCTGATTTACTCTGCAACAAGCATCAGGATACTTTTTTTCCACATAGTACTTCTCTGCAATTTGCATAGCTACAGGTTCAGTGATCTGACACAAGGTGTGCCCCTGTTGCGGGCTATCACATATATCTCTCTGTACAAAAAAAAAAACAACTATAGTACCTCAAGATAAAAAGTTCTCAAAAGGTGCATTATGAGAGTTATATTTTTAAGTGTAAAAAAACCGATTATTCCTATCTTCTTAAATTCTATATGTACACTGGGCAAAGTACATACTTGTTAGCTTATATGATGAACGTATACTGCAGATAAAATAAATTTGAAGTATTCATTATTTGTTTTATAATAAAAAGCTCTTATTAGCAAGTGTCTTGAATCGGCGACGTCACCATATGTGTGTGTGCCTGGTGAAAAGTACCAGGTAGCGCATTTTGAAGAATCCCGTTTTTTTGCATTTTCATGTACAGAGATCATATCTGAACAATATGCTTTTTGAATTTTTATGATATCTTCAGTTGTTTTTGAGAAATGGGTGATTTTGTAAGACAGGGTATGGAAACAAAGTTTTGACAAAAACGGCTTTAAAGTTTCCCTTTGTTTCAGCTTCAAATAGATAGATCTACACTTCGAGAAACCTGACAACACATTCGCTACTCACAAACCAACTTTAAAAAGCAGCTAAGACAAAAGAACAGCTTCAATGTGTTTATGTTACGTCTTCAAACAAATTCACCACCACCTTGAACAAGAATTTTCAAGAAATAGATCTAGGTTTGCGAAGGGCAGAAAAAAGCAATACAAGTTTGCTATCCAAAAAAACCAAAGGGTGTGGATGCGCAAAGCTTCGCTTTGTTTACATGCTCTAGATATTCATGTGCACTACCTGCCACTAGAGAGGGGAGACAATGACCTAAATTTTGGTATGCAATGTGATTGGGTCGACTTTATGAATGGACAAGAGAAACCATCCGCAATGTTTACTTGGAAAACTATTTTTCTTGCATATTTTTGGGGATTATGCAATATACCTTGTGTTTAAAAAACATCTTTAAAAATATTATTTAAAGTAAAAGAAGCTCAAGTCCTTGTAAATATCGATATATGAACGGCTAAAGAATCCATTTTTAATGGCACTTAGTTTTAGTCAAAGATTCTATTTTTGACCTTTGAAGCCTGATATATCTCGGTTCGAGCAAATGCCTCTTTTGTTACCTTTCACAAGGCATGCTCACATATTGAGATCTAACACATTTTCAGCCCTTTATCTCATTTATTAGAATAACAGTTATGTTTCCACAGCTGAATTAAACCTCATAGATGCTCTCTAAAGCACTTCATGTGCAGGTCAATCTTTTGAGGTGAAAATGAAATTCTCATAGTACTGGAACATTACGTTTGTGACGTTCGGAGAATTGTTCATAAGACAGTCCCCACCCTTAGTATACCACAATGGACCATTCTCAGAGAAAAGGATAGAAATATCCTCTCACAAAGGCAGGCAGCAGAGCTGAGAGTCAATGAAACACTGAACAACACCATAATTGTTTGACAATAAAATCTAGAGCACAAAAGCTCTTCGCGGGTTACAAACTATACGCTGTTCACAAAAAAATGGTTACTGTATCCCACATTACCTACAGTGGAAAGCTTTAAGCTATCTGAAATTCCAGAATGTTCCAGAAAAGAACAACCTCTTAGTCTAATTCAGTTCTCACAACCAATAAGTCACCCTCCATTTTTAGAAAGGCGATTGTAATAAATAGATGATATTGCTGCAGTTAAAAAACGCCAGCTGGGGTGAGATGCGATCAACATCTCGAGTGGATATAATCAATGTTCTCGAGCTTCAGCTGTGAGCGGTCATGTCATGAACAAGGCTTCTTCGCAGAACTTGAGCTGCCAGATTTTCCCGGCGTATTCATCAAACTTTTCCATGCCAAGCAGCTCCACCAGCTTTGGCTGCAGACAAAAAAAAAAGCTTTAACTTAAGAGAAGACGAGTTATAACACACATGAGGATCACACACATGAGAGAGGAACATTAGTTACGAAAAGAAGTTAATTCACATATCTGACAATTTAAAAAAACAAAAGACAGAAGTTTTAGTTTTTAGTAACAGTTTTACGGCATATGCAACATGATCAGGTCATGCAAGTGCCGAAGTTTAGAGGTGTTACAAAAGTGTTACATACAAACAAAAGGAGGAGGAAAGATAAAAATGATAGATGTTTGATGGGAAAGAAGAAGAAAACAACACCAGAGCACCTGCAAACCACCCGCATAAGACAGAAAAAGTACTTCATATACACCCATGACAATCACAAATATATAAAATGGGACAGTTATTTTATTAACATATGTGATGCTCACAACATAAGATGAGAAGAAGAATTTGTTAACACATGACGATCCCAAACATAGGAAAGGAAAAGGTCATTTATAAACCCATGTGATGGGTCACAAATATATGATGGGAAGAGAAGTTTATTCCCACATGTGACAACCACAAATATAAACAGGAAAAGATGTAAATTCACACATGTTTTGCTCCCAAACATAAATTGTGAGTAATGTATTCACATACAATGTGATGACCAGCATATGAGGTGTAATGGTTAGACACTTTCCCATAGCGCACAGAAGACATAAGTTTTTTTGGTTCTTTTTGGTAAGTGTTTTACGGCGCTTGCAACTGCATAAGGTCACACGAGCGCGCAGGACACATTAAACATTTTCAGTTGGTAGGAAATTTGTAATTTTGACCACGTGGCGGCCGAAGCCTACTCTTATCGATTTTAGACCACCTAGGGATCTTTAACACGCGCAACTTGCACACAAGACATAAGTTTGATCTGAGTGTGGGGAGGCTATTTTAAATTAAGTATCTCCGTCTATCTGCTGGGGTGTTGTATGCCTCTATGCCTGGATTACCCTGACAGGCAAGGTCGAAGCAGCTTATCTCCTAAATAAAATGATCCAAACTGTGTCGATGGGTCATACAAAATCTACAATTACCAATCACACAAGTGATGATCATGAACAAAACAAAACAAGTAGCACCTCCACACATATGGCATTCTCACCTCCACTTCATCTTCATCGATCTTATCCAGAATTTCGTAAGCTTTCTTCAGAGATGCATAACCAACACCTTGAATGCAGTCTCTGCAAGGACAAACAGTGGAAGTCAAAACTTTTGTTATGGAGTACTCTACTTTCCTATACGTATAGATAAACTGTGGTGAGTGGGAGTGGTGGGGGGGGAGCGGGGAGGGAAGAGAGAGAGAGAGAGAGAGAGAGAGAGAGAGAGAGAGAGAGAGAGAGAGAGAGAGAGAGAGAGAGAGAGAGAGAGAGAGAGAGAGAGAGAAAGAGAGAGAGAGAGAGAGAGAGAGAGAAAGAGAGAGAGAGAGAGAGAGAGAGAGAGAGAGAGAGAGAGAGAGAGAGAGAGAGAGAGAGAGAGAGAGAGAGAGAGAGAGAGAGAGAGAGAGAGAGAAACATAGAGAAGGAGGGAGTGAAAGGATCAGTATAGGAACTATGTTACTTGTATTATTATAAAGCTCCCCAAGTACTTTCTCAGTGGACATGCACTATATAACTATTATTATTATTGTTATGATTATTATCTTTATCATCAAATTTCACTACTCCTTTCCTTTTTGATTTGTGATACATTTCTTTGTCCTGGTCATTGAACAGGTAATGGCCTTTCTTCAAAACCAAAGCAATGAGAAGCAAAAAAATTGCCTATTTTCCTTGTTCATCATTCTGTTGTACAAGCACCACCCATAAAGTGAGTCAAGATAAACATTCTTTTCATCTTCCAAAAGACTGTAAACTACACATGTATTTGAGATGAAAAAACATCTTATAAGATTCTTATGGCTACATTTATAATACTGCTCTGTGGATACGGCTTTAACCCTTTGAACCCAAGGCTCCTGAGCTTTAAATGGCCTGTACACTGGGCTCCTCTGTAGTGTTTCATTAATTGTTTAGGAATACTTTTCTACATGTAATTTTAGTGTTGATCTTATCTATTTGTCTCATGCTTATGGTGGTAATATCACTATACAGGTGGATATTGATGCTGCCATTTCATATTGTGTTTTATTTCTATAAACACATGTCAAATTTAGGAGGGTGTGTTATACTGATACTTCCCTACCCAAGGGTATTTTTCTCGTTGTGTTTGTACCGATATTTCGGTACAGAGGGTTTAAAGGGTTAAGGGAGTAACAAATCTTGTATATAAAGAGAGGGCGCAAAGATCGTTCTAAAAGAGCCTCTATTTGAGAAAAGATAGAAAATGTTTTTATCAATGCCGGTAGCAAGTTCTATAACATTATGCATAGACAGCAAAGTACTCTTTATGCCTTCCAGCCCCATGCGCGTATATTTTCAGCACGCCTTGCACCTCCTACAGCCCAAAGAGCGCATCTTCTCAGTTTCAGGGGTACCGAATTTGCGCATTTTTCAAAATTAGCTAACCTAATTAAACTTTAATTTTCATAATATTTGTACATTTACCTTTAAACATAGTTTTATGTTATTATCTAAACCTCATTTCAAAGATACTACATCACCTTTTAGAATGCATGCCTCTTTTTCTGAAATACTGCTGTATTGGCCGTGACTGGGGTAAGGGAGTGCACAGAAATGGCTGGGGCTGGAAGGGTTAAAAGAACAATTACTGATAATGAAGTTCACAACCTCTGACCTCTCACAATGAACGAAAGTGCAACCCAAGAGCATTTCAACAATCAACCCACAGCCAAGCACAATTCATCTATCTCACTGCCCTCTTCATCACCTCTATCCAGCCAGTATCCAGTACTTACTTGTGTAGCAATCGTATTCTGTCCATTAGTCTGGATGTGTTAGTGAGTGTCTCCACACCTGTACAAGAAATAAACAAGTTCAAAATAATTTTCAAATATCTGTTCAGTCCAATAGAACTCTCTTCTCCACCCCTCCCCCCAAACTGTACTACCCTAATAAAAAGCATAAATAACTAGATTAACAAAAAAGAAACAACATACAAATCCCTTTGACAAACACGGTACCACAATAGACATTCCTAACAAAGAAATTGCATTTTTTGTCACAACATAATAATATAACAATACCATTTTTCACATCTTTTTACACCACCTGCAAATCCTTCTTTAGCTTTGCAGAATGAACAGTGTGACCATTCCAGTAAATATGCAGTGATGACCAACAAATGCTTCCCGGGAAGCTGAGAATGTTTCGGAGTGTTCTATGGTCTGCTGGGGTAATAATATAGTGTAAAGCGCATAGAGCCTGCTGTTGAGCGGGGATATGCGCTATACAAATGCTATCTATTGTTATTATTAAATATATACAGCAGTGACTAATAGTACACAAGCCAACCCACAGCTATGAATTACCACATTTCAAATGCAGAATGACATGAAGACTCAAGACCTTTGAGGTGAGAAGATCACCACATAAGCAGAGCAGACAAAAGAGAGGATACTCGTCTCTTCACAGACCTGAAGCCACCAAATTTAACTGTTTTGAACCACAAGATCCAAAACTACAGCATGAAATTATTTTCCGCAGGACCTGACAACCCGCAAGCATCTACCCGCACACGGACACACATATGCACGTACACAAGCATGTACACACACACACACACACACACACACACACACACACACACACACACACACACACACATACACACCCATCCACACACGTATGCACACACACCCATCCACACACGTACGCACACACACACACACACACACACACACACACAAACACACAAAAATAAAGTTAGTCTACTTACTGGGCATGGAGACAGACTTGTGCATTTGAGCAGGGTCTGGGTGAGGGTGTTTCTGGGAGGGCGGGGTGGGAGGGGTGGAGGCACGAGAGTTCACTGGCTCCTCTTCCACAGGTACCAACTCCTCCTCCTCCTCCTCCTCCTCCTCTTCTTCTTTCTCATCGTCCGAGTTTCCTCGAACATTGTTCATGTGCAGTGTGGTATCCAGTAGACTAATGAAGTTGTTCATTTCCTTGTTTTCCCTAGACACAAGAGGAAAAAACACACCGTTGAGTCCTTCTCAATAGGGAATCAGCCCCATAACTCAAAGCTTATGCTTGTTTGGGTTAGAACATTATACAAAAGCAATTTATCCTTATAATTATAATTATCTTCTACATTTTGCCACAACCTAGTATATAGTCACACTGAAAAGACCAGCCTCTGTGGTGCAGCAGTTAGGCACTTCACTGTCATACACAGCAGTAAAAAAAAAAATCTTTACTCCCACCAAGCTATAGTTCCCTGCTAGCTTTCACCATTTTTCTCAAATCATTTTTGAACTGAAGCAACTGAAATTGAAACTTCAGAATTTAACAACAAGATTTTGTAGTTTCAAGAAGACATGTCGTCGTCACATCACCCTTGAGAACCAAACAGAACCCATACATCAAACAACAAGGAAGGCCTTATATTACCTCTTCAGTTCTTTTTCTTGAGAATTATCTTTCTCCACTTCACAGACTTTCTGTGACTCATCCGAAGAACTAGTACTGTCATTCAGTGATGGCTGCCGGGCGTGTCTCGGTCGTTGTGGCCGCATCAGTTTTGGTGGAAGCTGCAACAACAAGACATAATAAAGGGGTGCATACCAAGAAAAGCAAAGATGTTTAAAATAAAAAGACACTGGTATCTGTAAGCACTAAAGTCTCAACAAGAACATTCGTATCCATTGCTATAAAGATAGTATGGAAGAAAGGTCTACACTTATTATTTCTTATTCAATTCGCTCTGCACTGAAGAGGATCAAAAACAAACTCTAAACCATGAGTTTTCGTGGTAAAGTCCTAAAAGAAACAACAGGATGAAGTTAATAATTATTTATAGACTTACAGCTTTCTCAGCTCGGGTGACCTTCTCAGACCCAGATCTCTCGGGGGTTCTTCGGAGTCTGATGCGGGCCGTGTTGGGGTTTTCATATGCTGCACAAGAGAATGAAAGGGGAATGTATTAGGCTGTGCACTTTCCCTTTCGCATACACGAAATAAAAACCCATTTTTTAAGCACGACACAAGCTGGTACTCTCATCATGACCTGCACATTACACATCCACACTCACAGAGCTTCACTAGTAACCTCAAAAAGGCAGAATTAACTACAAACAGGCTTTCTTCTGCCTAAGAGGCATAACATGCACATTTTTCTTTTTACATCACCAAGCATCTGTTTGATCCTAAACCCCTGGTTCAGACACTTATAATTTGAAAGAGGGAAACAACACTTTGACACCATCGCCTTTCTTCTCATTCCGCTGCCTCTAGGACACTGTAAGGTGTGGCATAGGATCTCTGGATTTTAAGTGCGAGAGAGACACTCTAAGTAGCTGTTTAAATTAATACTTAATGTAAATGTGAAAATGGGCTTTGGTCAGATAGACATTCGATGTGCAGTGACTTACATGCAGCAGTATCACTCTTCTGTTGACGCCTTCGCTGTCTGGCAGACAAGTTGGGTAAACTCTGGAGACACACACAATGTTGGCAAAGGTCATGAGATGCATGTCCACACTACAACATTAAGAGGAATGATCAAAGCTAGACAATAGGCCGGATGACCTGACAGAAAACTACAGCACACTCATATGACCTTTTGTAGTTGTGAGCACTATAACACTTTTACTATAAAAGAAAAAATCAAACTAATAAATAAGAGAAAACTACAGACTCAGACGTATCAAAGCAACTCCTTTTGTGCACACATCTCAAGTCTGAGTTTATCTAAGGCACCTTTGCATAATACAGCAGTCTTTAGATGCTAGAAAGGATAGCAAGATGGTAGAAAGAAGAATGAAACAAGGACGCGAAAGAGGCTGAACTTTCCTGCTAAATCTTCCAGTAGCTCAGATCAAAAGCACTTCCCATTCCCCTGAATGATCACAAGAGAAAAGGTACTTAAACAATGAAGAGTATTGTATCCAGTAAGTCAGACTCTGGGTTTCCCCTGACCGAGTTATTAGTGAGTTAATAAATGTCAAGTATACAGCAGTGACACAGCATTCACTGATTCAGGTGAGTGATCACTAGAGTACCCAAGCTAAAAAAAACAAACGGGGTCTGCACAGTGGTGACCAGCAATGGTGTGTTTCTTAGAATGTGTATATTAGTATGTTTGAGTATGTATGTATCTATGTATTTATCTACCATATTGTATAAAATATGTTATGCCATTGTAAACCAAATGTCCCAACAGGACTCAATAAAAATGGAATCTTATTCCATCTTTTATTTATTGATGCCAACAACACTATATCCACAATATAAGACAGAATATTTGACACCAAAGACCATCGAAAGGTCTGAGGTAAGAAAATTCGGTAAAGAACTTGAGAAATCTCCATGAGAGTATTTATTCAAAGCTCTGGCAGAGCGTCTCACCCTGGGCGTCTCTCCGTCCAGACCTCCATTATCCTCCTTGGAGCTGGACACACTAGAGCTCTTGGACGAGTCGGTGGACACAGGGCGACGACTGCCGTCTGCTGGCAGAATGTCGTCTCGGCGCTGCGGCAAGCCTGAGCTCTCTTCAGCCCGCGGCATGGGCACTGGCCTAGACTTGTCTTCTTTCTTCACCAGCCTAGGTTTCTGTGGACATAGACAGGGTGTTGTCAAAGACTGAACTGTTGCAAGACAAACTGCTGCCTTCGTTCTAACGTGATCTCACAGCTCAACACAGGTCATCAACAGTACACAATCCTGGTCATCCGGACTTTGCTTGAGTAAAGAGAAGCACATCGACACAAAAGTGGTCATTTAGTGACAGACAGGCAGGCAGGCAGGCAGGCAGGCAGGCAGGCAGGCAGGCAGGCAGGCAGGCAGGCAGGCAGGCAGGCAGGCAGGCAGGCAGGCAGGCAGGCAGGCAGGCAGGCAGACAGACAGACAGACAGACACAATAGAGAAAAAGTAAAGAAGTAGGACCTACCAGTGGCACCTTCCATCCACCTACCATCTGGTATTTGCTCAGCCGTCTAATGCCATACCATGGCCACAATTACTTCTCTTTTGGTGATACACATGTGATCCATTTTAAGTTCTTAAAAAAACTGACAAACATAAATTCTAAAGAAACTTTCTTTGTGGTAAATGTTTGACACCCCCATCAACAGAATTTAGTTCATTAAGAAGGCATGCTGCTCACACCCTGCCTGATAGGATCAACCCAGACATAGTGATGTACTCAATAAAATATTTTCTGTCTGCAAACTCATCTCATATCCTTTGTGTACATAGCAAAGAACTCAACCATTACAAAACAGATATTGGTTCAAGAAAACTAAGGGCAAATGTAACATTACACTGTATATCAGCACTTTTGCATATGTCATAAATCAGCTCGGAAGCTCTCACCTGTGGTTCTACAACAGCGACAGGCTTGCTGTTTCTCTTCTCACCCCCGGATGGAGGTTTACTGATGTTGTCCCCTCCACCGTTCTTATCCCCCTCTGCGGCTTTCTCACCCTCATCCGATTTGTTCCTCATATGGTTTCTTAAGAAATTCTTTTTCCTCGGAGCTCCTTCTTTCTTGGGAGATTTTGCCTGTTGAAAACACACAAGACAAACTGACTTACCATCGTACCGAAAAACAGAGACAATGAGTTTTCGGGGGCTGGGAAGAAACCAGTAGTATGTTTTCTCTAGATACAGCAATAAACCATTCACACACACATACACACACACAATCACACACTCAAACACATAACACACACACACACATACCTACACACAGACACTCACAAAAACATATATACATACAGCCGAACGTACCCTGACGGCCACCTCTATAAGACGGCCACCTGTACAAACGGCCACTTCCCATTTCCCCCCTTGCGTTTTTTCTATATAATTTAACTGTGTAAAACGGGCACCTGTCCAATGCGGCTGCGGCCACCATATTTTAACACACAACCCCTATCACACCAAGCAATAACACCTGTCTTAGATGGCCACCTTAGTGACTCCATTACGTTTTGTCATAAATTGTGCATTGACCCCTGGCGTTGTGGGCGAGTCGTCATAATCTAATCACCTGTCTTTGTTGTTGTTGGTAGGTAGTCCCTCCAACCGATCATGTTGCATAGGCCCCTCCCACTGTTAACCAATAGGTAACAAATTTTCAGCAGCTGGTGTGATCCCTCATAACCCTGCGTGTGATCCCTCATAACGCATAAGCCCAACCCAGAACTCATACACAAATCGTAAGTGAGACGAGTGGTCACTGTTTACCCAGTCAGTAACAAAGTAACAATGGACGTCAACATGAACTTGTGACAGACGTGTTGCTCGTTCTCTGAGTGGTTGTGACCTATGTGTCTGTTTTACCATAGCACTGGGTCCTCCTTGTCTGACACATTTCGATTTATTGTCACCCTTGCACAAAAGCAGCAACAAGAGAAAAAAAGAAGAAAAAAGTCAAACGGAAACAACAACAGCAATAACAACAACAACAACAATGCAGCTATCTTCGGTTGGAACCTCAAAAAAGAAGAGTTTGTTTTCTTCATCTTGATCAGTCCTGCCTAAGACGGCCACCTGTCTTATACGGCCACTTTTCTCCTTGACAATGGATGGCCGTCTTACACAGGATCGACTGTACATACACAGGGACAAACTGAGAACCATATACACACCTCTTTCACAGTTTGAGGCACCACCGTGTCTTGCGTGTCACCAGCCTCAGAGGACGATGACTTGAGAGGCTCTTCCCCCTTCTCCCTGATTGGCTCCAGATCCCTTGGCGCAGCTGCCTCTTGTGACTTCCTTGCTGGCGGAGGTTTTGCTGCCAGATCTGCTGGTGCCGAGTTATCCTGACATAATAATAATAATAATAATAATAAAGATGATAAAAGAATGTGCATTTATATAGCGCCTAATCCCCAGAATGTTCTAAGCCTTGTACAATGCAGAATCTTAACTCAACCTACTTAACTCTTTTTATCCGGGAAACGAGTATACTCGTGATGAGGACCAGTCCAGGCAATGAGTAAACTCGGAACAGCTATACGATCACGTCAAAAAGCTAGATTTGCTTGTAATTACCAAAATACGCAAATACGGTGATGCTAGTTCTGTCTGAATATTTAAATTTTCCAATGAATAGCGGTTTCTTTCTTTTTGATGGGTGTAGAAGCCTGAAAGATGTCTCGAAAACGCACGTTCATGACCGACGAAGTACTTCTTGAAGAAGTGGCACTGGGTTGTGAGGGGGAATGAGACTAATTTGATGACAGTGACTCTGAATCAAGTGCCGTAAATTCTGTTGTGGATGATAACTAACAGGAATTAGACTCATCTAAAAGCGATTTAGATCATGGTGAAGGGGTCAGTATTGGAATTTGTGCAGTACCGATGGGATGGGGTAGATCTATAAATCGAAGGGGATGTCGCGGGCGTTACAATCAGGGTCAAGTTAGAGGGTGAAATACACCTGAAAATCTACATGGTGCAATTGGTGTAATTCCTAACCGCATACATTAACTAAAACTACATTCAATTTCTAACATAAATGCCAAATTTCCTTAAAACCTAAGAGTTATCGTAAGAAATACAGCACTTTGAAATATACACCCTAAATTCCAACTCATATGGCGTGGTGGCCCCAGGATGGGTACAGAGGCCGCGGGGGTACGGCCAGGATAAAAAAGGTTAAGGAATCAAAGGACAGAAAACGCACATTGTCAGACCAAACAACAACAACAACAACATCAATAAACGCATGCACAAATACACACACACACACACACACACACACACACACACACACACACACACACACATTTAATGAACCCCTTTCTAGACTCACAGACAGTCACTACTCTTTTCTACATATCCCTCACCCTCAACTGTAACACAACACTAAATATAACTGCATCAAATTTTTCCTTTTCTTGAATACAAATAAAAATTTCAAGTTACAATAAATTCTGTGAAGGTTCATTCTTTAATTAACCTCAAAGAGTTGTTCCTATATTTTTAAAAACTGCCAAAAAAGGACTCAAATATTCAGAAAGCTAAAAGTAATAAATTATGTATATTTCTGAATATAAGTATATATCATACACAGATACAACAATAACAACTTATAAACATACCTTCTTGTAAACTTTCTATCATGTCAAAAAGATTATTTAAATTCCTTTCAAAACAAACGATACATTAAGATTTGTGGTACTAAACTAGTTTGCCTCAGAAGTTGGACTTCAATTAACATTTTTTTTCCCACATCACAGAACCAGCTGGAATTTTTTTTTTACCCTCAATATAAAGAACATACAGTGTACTTATTAAGTGCAAAAGATCCAGACAGAATGACATGTTTTCTCCACGGTGAAAATGAGAAGTCGAGCGACATTCAATCAGCAATCAGAGAAGCTTCCAAGGGCATTCTACTCACTCGGGGAGAGTCTGGTTCATCTTTGGCTTTACTGCGAGAAGATGATTCAGACTGGGAACTTCTGGAACTCTTATCCCCACCCCCAGAAGCTGCACCGGAAGACGGCAGTGAGTTTTTGCGAGATGATCCTGCCGAGGAAGGGCGAGAGGGGGCAGGGATGGAGACTTGGCTGGCAGAAGATGGCCTTCGACTACTGTGAAGGAGAAAAATTGTATTAGGACACAGAGTAAACAGAAGCACATAGACATAATTTTTTTTTTTTTTGAGTAAAGAGATGCACATTAACACATTACGCCCTAAGGGTCTGGATGGGAAGTCCATTGTTAGATCCTAAGATCCTAGTCTGGACGGGAAGTCCATTGTCAGATCCTAAGATCCTAAGATCCTAAGCAAGGGGAAGGAACCCACCTCCTGTGAATACAAACCTTTAAAAAACACATTTTAAAAATACTTTTAAAAATTCCTGAAAAAATAAAAGTTAAAACGAAAAATGAATGTAGTTTCAGAAAAATATAACTTTATGTAGCGCAAACTGTTGGAAATGTTCCAACTTCAGTTCAGTCGGGGTGTCCGACCCGTCACTCTCACTGTCAGCCTCACTGTCGGGCCCTAGATCTAAATTCTAGATTTTCTACGTCTGATCAATCTGAATCGCCCCAAACTCTTGTTTCAACATTTTCATCAAAATCTGAGTCATCTGATTTGTCATATGCTTGTTTTTGCTCAAATCCATCGTTATTTCCTTTTCCGAACTCAACTGTGTCACTTTTCAACAAGTCGAGACACCTTCAAAGTGTTGGTAACATGCTCGCACTTCCATTGGCTCTAATACTAAAACTACTAGCCCGCCGGGCGGGGCGACCATCCCCGACCCGGCGGGTCAACGGAGGCGGATAGGGAACGGCCACTGTAATGGAGGTTAGCTGTGAATATATTGAAAAAGCAGCCCCGGACCAACTGGTGATGCTCTTACCAGGATGGGGTGAGGTGGTAGGTGGCGCTACCACGTCATTAAATGCCCTAGGAGTCCTCTGACGGGAGCATCATGCGGAAAAGGACCGCATTAAGTCCTGGCTACGGGTGGGATCCGGTAACAATTCCTCCCTGTGCTCCCAGGGTAGATCCTAGGACCTGGAGCTGCTGGAGTGCTGAAATCGGAGGTATTGGGCCGCAAAACGCACTCTAGAGAACCACAATATCATGTAATACTGCAATAAATGACACTTGAAGTAGGTAACTTTAGATATGGTGATCGCCCTGTGAGGACCCACCAGGCAGGTGCAGTGCCGGGCCCCAAGCCTCGAAGGGGTCCACCCCAACGACTGGAGGGCCTTCCATCGTCTTGGAGTGCCAGGAGACGAGGAAGAAAAGTGACTGGTAACACAAACACAAAACAGGTAAACACATCCTTCAGCACTGCAAGACACACAGGGCCCTGAGACAGGAAACGTGGACAACCCCACAGACGCTGCAAGAGAAGCTATACGGGCCGACAAATGAACTGAGCAGGACGGCCCAATTTATGACAGATACCAGACTTCAAGTGTGATGCGATCGAGAAGAAGAAGAAGAAGACTACTGGCCCGAAATATTTTGTTTGGGTATCAAACGAAAGAAAAAAACTTTTGCAATAACTATGCAAATCAAAATCTTGGCCCCAGAGTCTCGTCAAGGCGAGACTTCATTTCTAAAGACGCTAGGTCGGCGCGGGCGGTTCCCAGCGAGTCAGGGTGGAGCGCGTAAGGGAATTCCCGGGCGGTCCCGGGCGAGTTAGGGTGTAATGTGTTAACACAAAAAAGGACATAAAGTGCAGGGGAAAGTAAGATATAGATAGAAACAACAGAAGCAGGACCTACCAATGATGCCCTCCAATCAACCACTGGAAAAAGTATGACATGCAGACAATCAAAGCACACAAGGAGAGTAAAGAATTGGAACTTACCAGTGGCATTTTCCAACCACCTGTTTATTCTTGAAAAATGAAAGTCCCAACACAAAAAATTAATAACATTCCAATTGACAAGGGTATGTTAAGTAAGTTTTTTTTAGTGGAGATTTTACGGCGCTCGCAACTGCATAAGGTCATTTGAGCGCCAGAAGATTAGAGGCGTTACAAGAGAGCAACAAACATAAAAAAGAAGAAGGGGAGATAAGGACGATAGATGTTGGATAAGAAAGAAGAAACAAACCACACCAGAGCACTGTCAACCACCCACTAGGGTTGGGTCAGGCTCGCAAAATTAGCGCCCATGAGTAACGAACTACTCGCTGGCACTACCCGCAAACGAGCAGACGGGTAACGAACCGTCTGCTTGTGAATAGTAGTTCACTACTCGCTACAGAGACAACAGTTCGTTTAGCGAGCGAGCGGACGGGCGGATGGAGAGACTCCATGCATTCGAGCGGGCGGACGGACGGATGGGAGCGACTCCTTCTATTGCATACAACTTACAACCCCCCCCCCCAAAAAAAAATTTATTAAAAAATCACCCTCCTGCCTCACATTGTAGCTAGGCGTTCGTGGCGGAAATTTCTTCCCCCCCCCCGGCCTTTGCTATAATTGGAACGTACACAGTGTGCCCCACGCACAAGGTGAAAGGTTACACACATAGTACTACGTTACCAGCCTCTCTCACTCCCTGTGGCACCGCTAGTGGTTTGAAACATTAGGCCTAATTAACAAACAATAGACCGTGGGCCTACCCTCACGTCATGTATTGTATCTCGTCTGCTAGAGTTCGTCCGTTTGCCCGCCCGCCCAGTGAATAAAATTGTGGAGCAGACCCAAAAAACGAACTGACTTGAGGCTTGAGGTCTGCAATCCGCTCACTGAGAGAGTCAAATTGTGGAGCGGACCCAAAAAAACGAACTGTCTTGAGGTTCGCAATTCGCTCTCATGGCCGTCCGTTACCCGCTCGCTCTGATTGAGTCCGCGAGTAGCGAACCCGTCCGTCCACTCGCCCCATCTCTACCACCCACATTAGTAAGCTTGTCTTCTTTTAGATTTAGTAAGAGTTCTACAGCACTTGCTACATTATAAGGTCATATAAGTGCCAAAGATTAGAGATGTTCCAAGAGAGTAACAAACACCAAAAAAAAGGAGGAGAGATGAGGATGATATATGTTTCACAAAAAGGAAGAGCAAACCACACCACAGCACCCATCACCTACCCAACCTTTGTCTTCACTCCTTCATATAACACAGAAGATGAAAAAACATAAACAATCACAAAAAAATAGATCGCTAACTATCATTCCATTTCAAATCCCCGAAACTTTGCAAAGAACATTCTATACGAAACCGAGACAGTAAAGAGAAAGAGATGTCGAGTTGAAGTTTATAGCAACCCAGCACAATAATATCCACATTTCACCAGGAACAGGTTAAGAAAACAGCAACACTAAACAGATTCAGAAAGAAGGCACCATGCTATAGATCCCACAAACAACCCATAACAACAGAAAGAGGAAAATCCAACCCTCAAGGACATAATAAACTGAGAGAAATACAGAAAACCACTCTGAGATGATCTCACCACAAATATGCAACAGAATCAGTTCACATAGATATGAGTATAGCATGTCAAGACAATGCTCTAAAAACTGAAGCCAGAAACAAAGGAACAAGGCAAGTCAGTTCAGAGATGGGAAGGCCCTCAACAGTAAAAAATGTTGCAAACCTCTTCTTGGTGTCTTCAAGAAAGATGGCAATGTTCTTTTTGATGTATGGGTCACGGAGTATCCGGTTGACACTGGGTCTTTTTTCAGGTTCCTGGTGCATCATGCTACGCATCAGAACAAGGAGCTCGGAGCTGTACTTGCCCGGCATAGGAGGCATCTGGGAAGTAGCAGACAACACAATGAGGACAGAAAAGTTGTATCCAATTTGTTTGGAGTTACTGTCCCCATAAGACATACCAATGAAACAGCATAAAAACAAATTTACCTTTCTTCTTAGCAAAAAATATGGGGGGGGGGGTTCAAAACTGTGTATTTTGTTCGAAAGAAGTTGTGAGTTCCAACAAGTATAGGGGGATAGGGTGATGGGGAAGACCTCTTATGAAAAAAAAAAAATTCTCAAAATACAAGTCAAGACAAAAATCAGAGGTGCATGAACAAAATCATAAATATGCTTCCATCCTCACATAAATATAATTTCTCTTTTTTAAAGATTTGATTACACCATTCACTACCCACCCACAAAACCACAATAATTGTTGTATTAAAAAAAAATTCAGGAACCATGTACACTACAAAGGGCATATTACTTACTCTTCCTTTCAAAATTTTGTAAACAAGTGAGTTCATGTCTTTTGCATTGAAGGCATGCTTCAGAGTGGTCATCTCGTACACACAGCACCCCAGGGCCCACACGTCAGACTGAAAAGTTAGATAGTTGATAGTACCGAATAAAAACTTTTTTGTTTTAATAAGAGCTTTATGGCACTTGCAATAAAATAAGGTCATACAAGTGCTTAAGATAAGAGGTGTTACAAGAGTAACAAACTTAAAAAAGGAGATGAGTTAAAGACAAAAAATGTTCGATGAGAAAGAAGGAACAACCACACACTGCAGAGCACCAGCCAACCACTCACAGATAAAAACTTTACAGGGTATGAAAATGTCTTGTGCCTCCTCCAATACATGGCTCACACTACATTATAAGGACTCTCCTGCCTTCCACACATATGTTTAACTCCACCACATGTACATCCAATCAGAAAAACAGAGAACAAAATATCAACTGAACAACAATGACACTATATGAAACCTTGGTGCCTGATGCAAAAATTGTTGTAAAGTGAACAGAGCAGGCTTTAGAGCAAGGACTTGCACTACATAAATGCAATTCCCCACTTGGGTTAAGTGAGACCAATTTCCCAAGGACCTTCAGACGGTATTTCAACGAATGACTTTTTTTTTGGCAAGCTCAACAAAACCTCACCGCTAGACCACCTATACCACAATAAGTCAGAGCATCAATCAATACTTTCAGAAATCTTAAAATTTCAAGAAAGATTCCCCCCCCCTCTCCCCTTACTTCCAAACTTTTGACTGCTGACCTTGTGATTGTAGGGTTTATTGGAGAAAAGTTCTGGGCTCATGTAGTACGGTGTTCCAATCAGAGTTGTAGCCATGTCGCTGGCATTGTCCAAAACCCTGAAAAAATGAATACATGACATGTCCCTTTACTGCAAGGCTTAAATCAGAACAAAAAACAAGAACTTAAGTGTCAGAGCTGATGAACAATTTTAACCCTCTGAGCCCTAGCCACCAGTACAGCAGTGGCATGTAAAACTGCCCGTATGCCTAACCACCGGTACAGTGGAGAGTGAAAACCCTATCCCCAACCTGGCCCATCTGGGTCGAAATGTGCACAGGAAAAATTGCTCTCTAAACATGACTTAATTTATTAATTTGAAGATCTTTTGAATTAGATGCTGGTAATGAAAAGGATATCACTCACGAGCTTCAAGCAGAAGGGCACGATAGCCTCAGGAGATCAAGGCTCACAAGGTTAATGTAAAAAAATTATAGGCACACCATCACATGATGAAAACACAAACCAACTCTATTCAATGTAAGACTCTGTCATACGTCACTTTATAAAATGGCATATGGGGCGTCTCACACTAAGCCATCAAAATACCTACAAAGTGCACCATATTTCTCCTCTTTGCCTCAATTAGTGAGTGGTACATGCCACAGACTCAAACATCATTATGACCAGCTACAGAAACATCATTATTGAAATTTTTTTAGAAAGTGTACCTACATTTGAAATTAAAAACCAACACATCCAAAGAAAGCATAACAGCAATCGATTATGTCAGAGGGTTTTTGCTCAATAATGTTTATTTTGTTTGAAAGTTTTACCATCTGTATGCCCAAGCAAGCACTAACCTGGCAATACCAAGGTCTCCAACTTTGATGATTTTACTTTTGGTCAGAAAGATATTCTGAGTCTTCAGATCCCGGTGCAAAATATTTCTCTCATGCATGTACTGCGGACAAGCAAGAATCACATCATTATTCTTCAAACAGCCATAAATTAAAGAATAATATAATAAAAACCACACTATGTACACAATCATTCTAGATTTGTTACTTATAATGACAAAAAAAGAAGAGCAGTTTTTAACCATTCTATACGTATGCCTGGGGTCATTTTGTACCCCCGGGGTTGTATTTTTCACATTTTAGAATACTCCTAGTGTGAAGATCTCTTTGAAACTTTCAGTATTTCTCGAAAAATCATTTTGACAGACTCTACTGCTATGCAAAGTGTACGGATCGGATTAATGAGAAAATTTCGTCTTTCGAAAGTGATGGCAGAGTCCCCCACGTCGTATGGATACGATAGTAAAACACGACGTACGGATAGGGTAAAGTGCAGTTAAAAATTCAGATACAAATGTGCATAAGTAAAACAATACTACACTGGGAAATGACTTCTTTGACCTGTTTGTTTTGAATTTTTGCAGTTACCACTAAAACTAAAACTAAGCTGTTTTCTCCATTAGGGAATAAAAAAGATGCTTAAGATGAAAGCATCCAATTTTCCACCACAGTTTATCTACTCAGACTCTTTCAGACTCACCTGCAGGGCCATGGCAATCTGCACAAACCATTCCACAACCTGTCGTTCCTCCAGAGCTTGGCCCCGCTGCTCCTTGAGCTTGGCATACAAATCTCCTCCTTCACAGTATTGCATGGCTATGTACAGGAAGCCGCTGTCTGTTTCAAATGAGTCTTTGTATGATACAATATTTGGATGCTTGAGCTTAGACAGTAGCTTTGCCTCCTGCTCTGCAGATTTCCTCTCCCTTCGAGATGCCTTTCCAAGATTCATTTTCTTTAAGACATACTGAAAATGAAAACGAGAAACAGGACTAGTCTTACTCCCACTTCCACTTTAAAAATTTAAAAACTGGTTATTGAAACACAGCTGCTTGGAAAGCATACACATCTACTTAATCTAACTTTCAACGTATCTCTTTCTGCAAGCAGTCCTATGCCATGCTTCCAGCCATCCCCCTCCCTCCCGCGCATCCCCATCCAAATTCGGATGTGACTGTGAAAGTCGATTTGAAATTCACTAAAATTCAAAATGAGACGCACAACAACATGGTAGTCAGCTCCTCATCATAATCTATTGTATTATATAAAAAACCAAGACAGAAACTCAGCCTAAAACATTCAGAAAAGAAATAGGCCTAGTTATCACAGATCGAAAGTAACCCATCGAGTTATTCTCTATAGTCATTTTGACTTTTTTTTTCAGTCATGGTCTGTTCATCAAAGTCAAATAAAACATACCTGCTTTTTGTCTTTCTTGTGTTTCGCAAGCCACACTTCTCCATAGCTGCCCTTTCCAATGACCCTTAATCGGTCAAAATCTTCATTCCCCATTCTGAGCTTGTAGTTCTCCTAAAATACCAGGGGTAGATTCTAGGTCTTTGAGATCTGAAGGTATACTGTCAGACTCCAGTCAGCCTGGATCTTTTTTTCTTTTTATTTTCACTTTATCTCTGCTGTCAAACCATTGAAATATGTTGACTTTCAAAGATATTTTAGTTCTTCGACTCTCTGTAAACGTCTCTATATCTAGATCTAGAGAAATCTAGAATCTAGTCTAGAATCTAGATATAAATATTAATTTTAAGACTTTGGCTATGAAATGAAGAATCTCATTGTTCACAATGAACAATGGGTGCATCAAACAAGTTAAGTAGGTAAGTAGGGCCTGGATCCTGGAACAACAAAGGCAAAGGACTTTGAGTATTAGCAGACAACGTTGGCACGGTGCCAAATCCAGCAGTGAGAGTCACATTGTGAGTCTCCCAGGCCGAGCAGGCGAATCATGATTCTTTGTGTGCGATTCTTGAATAAAGTGACAAAGTGAGTCCTTGAATGTGATCGTCGTAACCAGCTAGTCTACGCTATCTTCGAGAGTAACATTGTATCTAAATATCTTAGAACTCCTCGTTCTATAATCAACACTAACACACTGCAAGGTCCCCGACACGATCATTCGATGTCCATATTTAACCAGCTGAAAAGAGTTGCAACACTTTCAAAACCTGGTACTGTAGTGCCCATCAAAACAATGTTGGGCAGGCCTTTGCCTAGGCCTATGAATACTACTATGATATTGCTACACTTTTATCCAACCGAAACATTTCACTAAGAGGAAGTGTACACAGATAGCGAACTCTGGGATACAGGAACTGTATCGAACTTTGACGTACAAGATTGCCGCTGTGCGAAACGTGATTCAATAGCTTCGTTCGAGATTTCTTTTTTACTATTGCTTTCAACTTTGTTTGTTTGTTCTTTCTTATTTAGATCTAGATTCTAGATGTAGATCTAGTCTAGTTTGGTTACTTATTGTCATTAATATCTTAGAGCACATTTCATAATTTTCTTGTTTGTATTCTTCGACTTCTTCATGAATTGGAATTTTGTTCTGATTGATTTCTTAAAATTCAACTTGAGTCTTATCATTGTTCCATAATAATAATAATAATAATAATAATATTAATAATGATAATAATAATAATAATAATAATAACAATTAATATAATAACAATATAATAAAAATAATAATAATTATTATTATTATTATTATTATTATTATTATTATTATTATTATAATAATAATATGTGGCGACTAACCTTAAGACCAAATTGTTAAAGTGCGTTATGTTGTTAACATGTTATGTACGTCGCACTTGAGTTCATGAGTAACAGTTCAGTGAAAGTGTCCAAGCTGTTCGACCGGGTGGAATGTATGAAAGTTATGTCTCGTCCCGCAACGACTTACATGTGTGTGTGTGCGTCTCTTCATGCTACTTTGGTGACCCCGACGTGATTTAAGGTAACCTTGTCTAGAGATCTAGATTTTATTTAGCATAACCTAGAATCCAGTAACGGCGATACGTTTCTCAAAATCATGGCAATCGAAACTGTAGCACTCAAATTTCCTACGTTCTGGACTTCTTGTCCTTACGCGTGGTTCGCACAAACAGACGCCCAGTTTGCATTGCGTGGGATCACAACTGACGAGACAAAATACTACTACGACGTAGCGGCGCTTAATGCAGCTACAGCAGCAAGATCCCTATCCATAATTTCCTCGCCTCCTTCAAGTCAAAAGTACGACACACTCAAGTCTTTCCGTATAGAGGCCTATAGTTTATCAGAGGAAGAAAAAGCAGCAGCCTTATTGAGCATAAAAGAACTGGGCGATAACAGGCCCTCTGAGGCTGATTTCCTCCGGCAGCACAATTTATTAGTTGGTGTTCGGGGACACCGTCTAATTGAGGCAGAAACCTTCTCACTTACCTCTTTCTCGGTCAGTTCCATTTCAACAGGCTCAGATCTGGCCCTCAAAGAACCACCAAGCAATAGATTCCGCAAGATTCTCAACGAGTATCCCGAACTCTTAAAGCCTACTTTTTCCACAGCCGATGTCAAGCATGGCGTGCAACACTTTATTCCCACCAAAGATCGACCTGTTTTTGCTCGTGCTCGTCGCCTGGCACCCGACAAACTCGTGTCTGCAAAGAAGGAGTTCATTGAGATGGAGAAACTGGGCAAAATACGGAAATCAAACAGCCCCTGGGCATCGCCTCTGCCTGTTGTGGCTAAAAACGACGGAGGTTCCCGCCCATGTGGAGATTACCGAAAGTTGAACGATGCTACAGTCAACAGTCCCAGATCGTTACCCCATACCCCATATTCAGGACTTTTCTGCTCGTCTGACTGGCAAGACCATTTTCTCTCAAATTGATCTTGTTCGAGGATATCATCAGATCCCCGCGGCGCCCGAGGACGTACCTAAAACGGCAGTGATCACACCTTTCGGTTTGTGGGAACGAAGTGTATACAGACCCGGTAACCGGGAACAAAGTCACGAAGTATACAGACCCGGTAGGGGAACTCTTTTGTGATTTCGGGAAGTTTCAGCGCCCAGACCCGGTAGAAATCTAGAGAGTGTGTGCGTGAGTGTGTGTGTGTGTGTGTGTGAGAGAGAGAGAGAGAGAGAGAGAGAGAGAGAGAGAGAGAGAGAGAGAGAGAGAGAGAGAGAGAGAGAGAGAGAGAGAGGTGCTAGCAAAATGTGACATGCCCCAGTTGGCAGGAGGGAACGAGAGAAAGATAGAGTGGGAAATAGATGCAGTTGCGAGCGCCGTAAAACACTTTACAAAAACAAAAAAGAGTGGGAAATAGGTGGGGACAAAGAAATACAGAGACAAACAAAGAAAAAGAGAAGGCGAGCGATACAGACAGAGAGAGAGAGAGAGAGAGAGAGAGAGAGAGAGAGAGAGAGAGAGAGAGAGAGAGAGAGAGAGAGAGAACGAGAGAGAGAGAGAGAGGGGGGGGGGCAGAGAAATAGAGAGGGTGACTGCTCGATTGAAATTATGACTTTGTTCTTTACTTCAAATCGTGATTCCTCCAACTCCAAAACGGAGGAAAAACGATCGTTCATCGAAAAGACATCCGCAATCTTCATTTAGATCTAGATCTAGGCTAGCCGCGAAACTAGATCAAATATTTATGTCTGCCTAGATCTAGATCTAGATCATAGATCTAGAAGAACCTAGGTCTACCCTGAGCCAAGAGGGCGCTGAAACTCTCCGAAATCACAAAAGAGTTCCCCTACCGGATCTGTATACTTTGTGACTTTGTTCCCGGTTACCGGGTCTGTATACACTCCCTTGTGGGAATTCTTGAAGATGCCATTCGGGTTAAAGAATGCAGCACAAACATTTCAACGACTGATGGACACAGTGCTTCAGGGCCTAGATTGTGGACGATATTCTAGTAGCTAGTTCGTCAGCCCAGTCTCACGTCGACGACCTCAGCGGTTGCGACACCATGGATTGGTGATTTAACGGGAAAATTGTCTTTTTGGCGTTGCATCACTTGATTTTTTAGGACATTGGGTTTCTGCGTCATGTTCATCACCAATGCCTCTAGGGTTGATGCCGTTAAGGAGTTCCCTTAGCCAAGTACAGTCAAAGCGCTGCAGGAGTTTCTGGGTGTACTGAATTTTTACCATCGTTTCATTCCCAACATCGCAGCGATTTTGCACCCAGTTTATCCCGCTCTGAAAACAGAGAAACCTCGTCAAGCTGTAAGTTGGACCGATGAAATGAACTGGACATTCCTTTCGGGTAAACAAGCCTTGGCAAACGCATCTATTCTGGTTCATCCGTGCGCAGACTGCCCATCGCTCTCACGTTTGGTGCATCTGATGTGGCAGTCGGTGCCGTCCTCGAGCAATACAAGAACGATTCTTGGGAGCCTCTCGCCTTTTTCAGCCGGCAACTACGTAAGCCAGAAATGAAATACAGCACCTTTGATAGAGAGCTTTTAGGTGTCCACCTTGCAATACGCCATTTCCGGTACATGGTGGAAGGTAGGCAATTTATTATCTACACCGATCACAAACCGTTGGTCTCTCTAATGTCAAAAACTACAGACGTGTGGTCAGCCCGGCAGCAAAGGCAGCTATCTGCTGTCTCAGAATTCAGCACTGACATCAGGCACATATCTGGGAAGACAAACATTGTTGCCGATTATCTCTCACGTGCTGTGATCACAACTAATGCAGTCTCACTGGGTATATATTTCGCAGCCTTAACAGCAGCTCAGCAGCCGAGTACAGCTGATATACAGGTGTACACTTTAGCTTTCACAAGCATAAAAGTCATTAAAACGAAGTTGAGCGATGAAGGTCCCGAAGTCCTTTAAGACATCTCAACTGGCAGAGCTCGGCCCATTGTTCCTCCAGAGTTCAGACGCCAGATGTTTGAGTCTGCACACAAACTTTCACACCCAGGGGTTAAAGCTACAGTCAAGATCATCTCAGAAAAGTTTGTGTGGCATGGCCTACGACTACGACGTCAGGTCAGCAGTTGGGTGAAGCAGTGTCACGAATGCCAGACGTCGAAAATCTAGAAACACACCGTGCTCCCCTAGAGACATTTAGAGTACCCGACATGCGGTTTTCACACATCAATATTGATATAGTGGGTCCACTTCCTGAGTCCTGTGGTCAACGGTATCTTTTGACTTTTGACCATTATTGACCGCAACACACGATGGCCATAGGCGATCCTTATGCCTAACATAACAATAGACGAATGTGTTAACGCTTTCATAGGAGGCTGGATCTCCCATTTTTGGTGTTCCTGCTGATATATCATCGGACCGAGGATCTCAATTCACTTCTGTAATTTGGACTGACATAGCTCAACGCCTTGGAGTCCGCTTACATAGAACAACGGCTTTTCACCCACAAGCAAATGGAATGATCGAACTATCGAACGGTACCATCGCTTACTTAAAACGGCATTGAAGGCCAGACTCACTGGTAACAACTGGGTGGAAAAACTTCCTTGGGCTCGAACCGCTCCCAAGGATGACCTGGGATATTCATCTGCAGAACTGGTCTATGGCGAGCCACTGACCGTTCCAATTCCAAGTGATTTTTTACCGTCTGAAACATCTGCCTGTTCAGCAACAGATTTTTTAACAACTTTTTTTAGCTAAAGCACAGTTCACTATGCCTAGACCGGCTTTCCACCACAGTGACCCAGTCACATACTTCCCACCATCTTTGTTAACAGCGAAGTATGTTTACATCTGCATAGATACCGTGAAAGGTTCACTTCAAAGACCATACACAGGTCCTTACATGGTTCTCGCCCCGGGATAAAAGACCTTCCTTCTGGACATCGGAGGCCGCACGGAACGCATCTCAGTAGATCGCCTCAAGCCTGCACAGGTAGACCCTACCCAACCTGTCCATCTACAGCAACCAGCACGACGCAGCCGCCCTCCGATGTTGCGGGAACCAAAGCCTGCCGTTAGGAACACCGATGGGCTATTTTGGTAGCCTCGGGCTAGAGCAAGATACAGAGGCGGTTCACCACCGACAACTCAGGTCACGTGCTGGACGTCAAGTGCGTCCACCCACACGCTACCAATGATCCAATGAGACGTCTGTGCTTGGGGGAGGTGTGTGACGACTAACCTTAAGACCAAATTGTTAAGTTGTCTTGTTGTTATGTGTTGTACGTCGAGTTCATGAGTATCAGTTCAGTGAAAGTGGCCAAGCTGTTCGGGTGGAATGTATGAAAGTTATGTCTCGTCCCGCAACGACTTACATGTGTGTATGTCTCTTCATGCTACAAATAATAATATATTTGTCGTATTAGCAAAAACCGGTAGTACAGAATCTTTAGTATTAGGAATTAGGAGGGGCGAGAGAGGGATGACGTTATAAATGAAGTTTCTCTCTCTCTTTCTCTTTCTCTCTCTCTCTCTCTCTCTCTCTCTCTCTCTCT